GAAAAGTTTCTTAATAACAGTCCCTGTGGATACGATACTTGGTACTTTAATTTTAATTTTAATAATATTACTTCGACAACGGGTACACTTGCCCAGTGATCAGTTTTTACACACCAGCTCGCAACCCTGTGCTGTCGATTCTCACTGCAAAACTGGACTATCTTGACAGAACCCGATGGATTATCAGAATCAGTTGAGCTATATCTTTGAAACTATCTAATGAGATGGTTATGACCAAGAATGATTGGTGACAGTGAACTCCTGATCCTTCCCAGAAAGAAAGAAAGAGAAAAAAGAAAAAGAAAATGGTTTGGGCCCACATGCATGTGTCAGTATACCAATTAACTAGGTGATGCACAGAATCATACATGGCATGTACATTGTGTGTTGAGTTGTTGCTAATTGCTATAATGATTGCAAATATCTTGACGTGTTTTCTACTGTACTTTGGTTGAAATGGGTTTGTCTCACCCTTTTAGCATATATGTGTGTTGTATGTGAATATGTTTAGTAGGTGAGGACACAAATGGCCTGACCACCATACCAGTTCAGCGTCACAGTCAGATATGATCCTGAAAGAAGATGGGCACACGATTGGGAACGACAACAGTCCACCCATACTGGCACTATTACCTTTTTGTTAGATAGAAATGGAACAGGCCCACGGGCATACCCCATCCCCATCAGGGTACCCATGAGACTCACTTTTCCATTTACTCCTAGAGTACTGTTAACTTTTGGAGGAAATGGTATTTTTGATAATCATGGGTCTAGGGGAAAAGCTTGTGAGGTCATTTTTGTTGTTGTTGTCTCTGATATCGTGACCCCACTTTATTTTGTATGTAAATCAGCTATGTGTATATGTTTATATGACTGGATGACTGTATATTTTGACAGATGATTGCTATATACGTATTTGGATAACTGATGCAGATGGTGTATTTAGTTTCTATTAATGTGAACAAATGTAAACTCATACATGTGGCTTTCTTACTGCTTGGATTATTTTAATATTATATTTATATTGATGGCATAATAAGTAGTAAGGGTGTCACATGTTACACATGGAAAAATTAGTCATGTCTAGGGCTACACTATCACAATTGATTTCCTTAAAGTCAGAAGGACCAAATTTCCACTATATCCTCACAAGGTGCTCTCCTAACCTAAGTCTTCTTTTAAAATTCCAAGTGCTTCAAAGTATGACTACTTGTCTATATCAATATTCTTCACAAGAACAGCCTCTTTGCCCCCAACATAGTGCATCACGAGGTCCAATTCAAAATGACTCCCATGATGAATTATAGCCTTGAAAGTCATCTACATACAAAAAGGAACAAATATTCGTGTCAGGTAAAGCAAAAATTTACGGAAAAAAATCCTAACTCGCAATAATCTAATCAAATAACACTTACCTTCAACAATGTCGACAATGTCCACAATCTGGTAACAACCATGGTGCTTGGGAAACAAAAAAAAAAAACAACAACGCCGATGTTTATTTCGAAAACGATAAATAGCAAAGGTGAAGATGAAGATGAGAAACAAACTACAATATCAGATAAGGGGTTCAACAATTTGTTGCTTTCTATTTGAAAATATTTCACTTGAAGATCAAGATTGAGTAACTGCCCAATGATGGTTTAAGCCTTCTTCAACATTTTCTCAAGTGTTAACTGTGCGCTTAAATATCTATTTTTTGGTTTTTTTCTTTTTCTAAATTCAAAAATGTTGATGTAGAATCCTAACGTGGTGGTTTAATGGTGAGGTGGATGAGAGAGATCGATAGTGATGTGGCAAACTGTTAGTCACATTACCATTTAACTGATGGAGTTTAACGTCAGTTATAAAATTTTAAAAAAAATTAGTTAGGCATTAAAATTAAAAAAAAAATTTGAGGTAGTTTTTTGAAATTAATCCTATTTGGAGGTAGTTAAAAGGTATTTAAATTTTTATTTTTTTAAAAAAATTGTTAAGGTTTAAATACATTTTTAGTCTCTGTACTTTAAAATAATTTTTAATTTAATTTCTATATAAAAAATTATAAAATAGACTTGCATATGTATATAAAATAAATATTTCTTTGGGCAAAAAGTCTAATTTGGCTCTCAAAATAATTAATTGGAAAGTGGGGGAGATTCGTGGCAAGAAGGGAAAAAACACAAAGCGTATGTTGGACCTTAAATTGATACTTGAGCAATGACAAAAAATACTTCTTTTGATATATTTCTTCTAACTTAAAATTTATTAAAAATTATATTTTAACTTTTTATAAAAACTTAGAAAAATTATGTAAATTTTACTCTTTTTCACTTTTAATTTAATTTTTTTATAACCTTTTGTAATTTTTAATAAATTTAAATTACTAATAAAGAATGTTTTACTAATATTATTTAGATCAAGCATTATAGCATACATTAAATTCTAATATTTCCATATATTAGTCCTATATTTATCAACGACGATGAATGAAATTTTCAAGAACCAATCCGATGAAAGATATGATATTGAAACGCTAATTTGATTATTCATATTTTAAATAGTTTTGTTATTAAGATTTAATTAAAATATTAAAACTATAATAAATATTTTTAGTAAAAATTTATTATTTTAAATGTCAGATTGGTGTAATTATATGTATTTATTATTTCATTTGAAGTGTGTTGTATATGTTTAAGGTATATGAATTTCTTATGTTGAAATATAAAGGTTGAGTAATTGTTGGATAAGGAGTACTGTGAATGCTATGTTGTGTGATGATGTTGTTAAATGTAAAGTGCAGTATGAGCAGGAGGAGGAGGATAATTGTTAAGTGTATTGTATGTAGAATAACCTTAAAAGTATGGTTAAGAGTTGGTATTATATCTCCCGGGAGAGAGATTGAGAGTTCTGGTGCAGGGTGTCTCGCTCAAGCAAGAAGTTATCATGCAGGATTAGGCATTCTGGATTGTTCTCACTCAAGCGAGAGTAGATAAGATCACCCTAGTTATCCCTTCGCCCAGGCGTAAAGGAATCTTGCTTAGGCGAGAGGCGACCTTGCTCAAACGAGAGCTACTCCCTCAAGTAAGGATTTGCAGGATTAATGGGTAACTTTCTAGATCCAATCTCGCCCAGGTGAGAATGCTGCTCGCCTAGGCGAGACACAACTTGCTCAAACAAGGTGTTCCTCGATTAAGCGAGAATAGCAGGAATTTGAGAGGTTCCATTATTTGGTTTTCTCACCCAGGCGAGAGCAGATCTTGCTCAAGTGAGGATTAGCTCGCTTAAGTGAGAGCGCACGGGCTAGAGGGATATTTAAAGGGCCTCAACATGCAGAGGCTTCCTTTTCTCACCAGACAACTTTTCTCTCTCATTTTCTCTTTATTCTCTCACTTCTTCTCGTTAGAGAAAATTTCTCAAAATCGAATTCCTTCTCGAACAAAGTGAGATCACCTATCTTATCAAGATATAAGTGAGTTCTCGGAGCTAAGTTTTTTATTTTTACTCATTTTCCTTTTCTCTCTTTCTCAAGTGACTTATACTATGTTGTTTTGAGTAGATCTGAGCCATTTGAACTGTATTCCACACCCAAACGGTTGATCTATTTCTTCGGGACTCAGTAGGAGTACGATCTTGGAATTTGTTCCATGTAAGGGGAGCTTACCTGATCTAATCTAGTTCATTTAGTAAAGGCCGAGATATTTATATGAGTGATTTTGTTCTAGCTGAAAATAGTGACCTGTATAAGCAAACCTTGGGCTAGAGCCCAGAGTTTGTATAGTCAAGTAGATTTCTTTGTTGTCTAATGAATGTTTAAAAAGCTGTGATGGAACATAACGTGCTGAAATGCTGTGATATATAAGCCGAGGGTATTAATATATGCTGGAACATTCAATTAATATTTTGAGCTGCTTAATTTCATTGTGTACTATATACAAAAGTGCTTGGTTTTGCTGCGAAAATATATATACAGCTGAGTTGTTCAAGCTAGATGAAATTGTATATCTTACTGTATTACTGAAGCTGAAAATAAAATTTACTGTGCTGTAATATGTTAATCTCATTGTGTTGCATCATAATCATACTAGAGTTTATTAGGATGCTGAACTGTACTATGTCTGGTCCAGATACCGAAATGGGTCGCTCTCAGACCAGAAAACAGTTCCTTTGAATTACTTAGGCTGCGAAACTACATAAAAATTGAATCGCTACATTTGCATTAGATGGGCTGGAATGGGCTGAACATGTTGCATGAATTGATTGAAGTTGTTGTGCTGAATGCTATGAACTATATGAGTTGTTCAGGATATTTTACATATTCACATTTTATAATTATGATTATCAATTATATAAGTTCAACCTTGCATTTCTGTTGTATTGGTATGTGTTCTGTAATGATCGTATGATGGTATGTGAGCAAAAGGTACAAGTAATGTGTCTACTTCTTAAGCTGGAAGTTTTGGCTGAGGGACGACGGAATTTGCATTTTTAAAAAAATTTGTAGTGTTAATTATTTTGTCAGTCTAGGTTGTAGCAGTAGGTCTAGACTGTTTGGCGACACTTTTCAAGAAATGTAATTATTAAGCGAAAAATTTGTATTTTGAATTTCTTGCTAAATAGCTTGTAAGTGTATAAATTTATGTAAATTTTAGTATTATATGAAAATGCCATTGGAATTTTGTTATTTGTTAAATTGGATGTTGAAGTCTATTTTATTTTATTTTTGTAAAATTTATACTCTTTTAATTATGTATATGCTATCTCGTGAATGAATAAATAAATTAGAAAAGGTATTAGGGAATGAATCTTTATAAAAAAAGGATCGTGACATTAAATGTTTAAATTCAGTCGAAATCGAGGTAACAAAATTATATTTTAAAATGTCAAATGAGCTGATTATTGTCTATTTATGTGATTTTGGAATCCGAAGACTTGACAATTTCTCGCCGCTTGTTCTAGTGATTCTCCTTCATTGATTTCCACTCTTTAACATTAAAAAATGACAAATTCAGATAACTATTATATTTAAAAGCTTAGAGCACATGTAAACACTTTTTCTCTGTCTTCATTGGATCTTCCACTCACTCTTTTTTGTACCAAGGCAACAACTACAAACAGAAGGAAAATGGGAAATACAACAAAGTCTGAATTTGATTTTACACTGAGTGAACGCAAAGCATTTGATGAAACAAAAGCTGGTGTTAAAGGGCTTGTTGATGGAGGTGTTAACAAGATCCCTACCTTATTCCATCATCAACCTGACAAATTTGAGAAGGCTTCAAATTCATGTAACACATGCCATGTTATTCCAGTCATAGATCTTGCAAATATTGGCAATGATTCAAGTAAGCATCAAGGGCTTGTTGACATAGTAAAGGAAGCATGTGAAACATGGGGTTTCTTTCAAGTGGTGAATCATGGCATCCCTATGAGTGTTCTTGAGGAGATGAAAAATGGGGTGAAAAGGTTTCATGAGTTGGATACTGAAGCCAAAAAAGAATTCTATACAAGAGATAGATTAAGATCCTTTGCATACAATAGCAATTTTGATTTGTATAGCTCACCAGCACTTAATTGGAGAGATACTTTTAAGTGCTACATGTATCCTGATAGCCCCAACCCAGAAGAACTTCCTGTAGTGTGCAGGTATGTATGTGTATCAAGTATGTGCTGCTTCATAGATTATATTATCTTTGGATTTATGTTTATATATTTTTAATGAAAATAATGCTTTTTGTGATTTATTTTCATTTCTACATAAAATTTGCAAAGGATATTGTAATCCATACTTGGTGATTTAGATTGGTATGTTTCTTATATTAATTAGAATAGGCTACAAAATTGTTCCTCCATTTGTTTACATGCAGAATTTTTTCATTAACTTTCAAATTAAAAAGGTGTTAAGCTGAATTTCCACCCTAATTTTGTTTCTGATAGATTGCATATATTCTTGCAGAGATATACTGCTGGAATATGGGAAACATATAATGAAATTAGGAACTTTACTGTTTGAGTTATTATCAGAAGCTTTAGGTTTGAATCCAAACCATCTAAAAGATATGGGTTGTGCTGAGGGGCTTCTTACTCTTGGCCATTATTATCCTGCATGTCCTGAACCACAATTGACTATGGGAACCCCTAAGCATTCAGACAATGATTTCCTCACAGTGCTTCTTCAAGACCATATTGGTGGCCTCCAAGTTCTTTGTCAAAACAAGTGGATTGATATACCTCCTGTTCCGGGTGCTTTGGTAGTTAATATCGGTGATCTTCTGCAGGCAAGTTTTCCGTTTTTCTTCTGTTATATGTATGCCTCTTGCAGCTGTTACTAATTCTTTTTTATGGATTTTCTTACATCTACTGCTTCTTTTTCTATTGGTTAACATAAACAAAGTACCATGGCATGGCATGGCATGGCATTTATGAAGTAATCAGATTATGTCCTGTACCATGTGCAACAGACCAACGGTACTACAATAGAGAAACTCCAATTCTAGTCTTGAAATAGAAAATGTCAGTTACTTTAGTGCCTGACTTCATAAAATCCTCACTTTATTGTCTTTGACTTTACAAAACACTAATCATTTTAGTCATTTTTAATGCAAAACAACTTTGGAAATAAAATAAAAAAGGAGTAAAATGAATGACATTATGTAAGGATATGGATTAAAGTGAGGATTTTATAAAATTAGGGACTAAGTTACTGATACTTACAATTTTAAGGAATAAAATGGGGGGTTTAGTGGTAGGACAAACCATGCAACCTGAAAGCGCAAGTCAAAGTTATTTTGGTCCAGTTTTGGTACTTTTAATTTATCATATCTCATGCTTATTGGTGGCTTGTCTTATCTTCCATCTTGCTTGAGATGCAATTTCCTGTGTCTTCTAGTGTTGCTTACATCATGAGTAAAATAACTAGTTTGATTTGTTCAAATAAGTAACATAGATACCTCAAACCCTGAATAAACTCACCCCTAAACAGACAGCAGTAAGAATTGACCTTGTTGAGCACAAAATGCCAGAAGAAAATGTCCATTTTATCATTTAATTGAATGTGTTAAGTCCGATCCACTAATTTGATTAAAGTTAGACATGACTTGATTGATTTTATCTGTAGTAATTTGAATGATAATTAATAGAAGTATTCATGTAGCTAATTATTTGCTTGTTTGAACTGTATAGCTTATAACAAATGATAGATATAAGAGTAGTCAACACAAAGTGCTTGCAAATAAAGTTGGTCCCAGAATATCTGTTGCATGCTTTTTCAGCACAAGTGCAAGGGGAACCAAGCTTTATGGACCTATAAAGGAACTGTTATCAGAAGACAATCCTCCCAAATACAGGGAAACTACAGTTGCTGACTTTGATAATTTCTTTGTATCAAAAGGACTCGATGGTACTAGTGCTCTTACACATTACAGGATCTAAACAAGGAAATATTGTAGAAGAAAAATGTTCATAAATAATTGGAATACTCTCATGGGTACAAGACATGAGAGTGAGACAGTGTTTGAAATATTATGACTAAGCCCAAATCCAGAACCTACTCTTTTTACATCAATTTTGTCGTTAAGCTTTAAAAATATGTAATCAGACACTCCCCCAGAACAATTATTTTTGCTATTTTATTAAATTTTAGTTTTCATTTTTTTTGCTTCTTTATTAAAAAAGATATCATGATAAGTTATATATCTAAGAACTTAGTTTTTTTATTTTTTATTTTTCTTCTCTTTTTGTTACTTTTTAGTCTTAAAAAAATAATGTAAGATGGTTTTACAATGTTGTGGGTCTTGGTTAAAAACTAACACGTTAGGAAAGTTAAAGTTCCTTTTTTCTTTTTCTTAACGCTTTTACGTTCATCGATATCTAATACAAACAAGGTATAACATGATCCTCTCAATAAAATCACGATGGATAGGATCTCTGTAGAGCATTAGATAATTATCACAATTGAAATAAAGACCAGTCATCAACTAAAAATAAATAGACAAATTTAGGTATTATATTATTTAATCAAGATTAAAGTTTCACTCACCTAAATAACCTACTATATTCTTAAAAATTGACTATTATTGTATAAATTACTAAAGTAAAACTCTAATGTCACTAGACAATACCAAAATCACTTAAGAAATTGTACTTGAATTTTGTCTAAATTAGAATTTAAGGAGTTGCTACCAAATTTACTACTTACCAGGGAATGAAATCGATATCACATGGTTAAATTGGGTTTTTCTGATTGTTGTTGAGATAGACAGGCATTTGTCTAACTTTAATTAAAAATGTTCAAAGAAATTTCAAATTATAATTATAAAATATAAAAATATGTATGTTTTACGCAAGACGAAATATTTGAGGATCGTATTGCACATTTTTTAAGTTTGAGAAATAAATTGAGTATCATATAAGGTCGAAAAGTATAAACTAGTTCTAACTTTTTTTTTGTTCCTCTTGAGAGTAAAAGAAAGTGTGCAATGTCAAAAAAGTGATTTTTTTTACCTTACACTTTCATTCAATTATGGATTACTATATAAACAAGAATCATTGATTTCTATAATAATTAATATAAGAAGTATATCCATAATATATTCTAATTGGTTGACAATATAAATTTTTTATACTGATAGTGCATCAAAACTAAACTTTATCTTTAATCATTGAAGGAAAAAAAAAAGATTTTATCAACAAAGCAAATGTTTAAAATATTTCCAAAAGGAAGAAGACATTAATTTTGATTACAGGCACATTTGAGTAATTGAAATAAAAAAAATATAGGTCAAAGTTGAATGATTATGAATATCTATAAATTTCTGATCAAAGTATTTATCAAATATAATATGGTAGTCCTATATTTATCTAAGACATTAAACTTACTTTTCAATGATAATATCTATTATTAGATTTTGTGCCTGAAGAATCGATTTGATGAAAAATATAAGAGAATAATTGATATTGCATATATCTTGAATCAATGTAAGGAATGACTTCGAAGGACCGAAATAGACATTTTCTTTGTGGGTATGTTTATTATATATATTTTTAAGTGAGTTTTGTCTAAATAATATTTTTTATAACTATATCAATATTGAGAGTATTTAACTTAAAAAATTTTTAAAGTGAAATGACAATAAATATTTTCACTTTTTGTCAAAAAGAAAAGGAGCCAATTTTGGTTCTGATAAGGCATAAGATGATTCAAACATTTTGTGTGCTTATATGATATTTTGCAATCCATAGTTACCTATCACGCATATGTAAATTCAGAGCAAATGTCATGAGCTTGTGGTGGCTATACTATGCTAGAACGGAGATATGAGAGCAGTTTCATTTTAAATTAAAGAGCGTTTAAAATTACTCTAAAATTTTGTGCTATCTGATGTGTTATATATTTAAGAGAGCGGTTAAATAACCGTTCTCAAATTTTAAGATTGAAGAGCGGTTTCACGTGGATCTGCTCTTCAAAGTATATATGTAGACCGTAAATTTGAAATTTAAAATTAATTTCTTTTTGAGTTTTCTATTGCAAAATAAAATTAATTTATTATTATGTTTAAATCAAAATTTAGAATTGCAAAGTTGAATTTTGAGTTTATATATTTGGTGTAACCAAATAGTTCACATCTGCATGAACCAAACACAAGTAAGCCGAGAAAAAAGAGAACAAATTAGTAGGATGATTTTTAACGTTAATAAAGAGAAAAAAAAAAGAAAGAGAGAATGGATGATTCACCATTAAAAAAGAGAAGAAGACAGAAAGAGAGAATGAACAAGTATCTACAAATGTGAAAAAAAAACCCAATTGTTAGTGGAGAGAAGATGAAGAAAGCAGGCTAACAGAGAATAAAAAGATATCTATAAATGTGAGTGAAAAAAAATTAATTGTTAGCACAGAGAAGATAAAGAGAGCAGACTAATAGAGAATGAAGAGGTACCTACAAATGTGAAAAAGAAAATAATTAGTTAGCAAGAGAAGACGAAGAGGGCAGACTAACAGAGAAGATGAAGAGAACATAAAAGAGCAGAGAAGATGAACAGAACTTACAGTAAAAGAGACCAACTTTATTAGCTAAGAAGAAGAAATGCTCTAAGCATGTTTCATTTATAAACAACTTTAATGACTTTATAGAGCAGTTCTTTATTAACCTCTCTCAAAAAATGAGCTTAGAGAGCAGTTCTTTATTAACTGCTTTTCAATGTGTGACTTTAGAGAGTAGTTAGTAGAGAACCGCTCTCTAAATATATAGTTACAAAGCGGTTTTTACTAACCGCTGTCTCAGTTAGCACTCCAAAAGCTCATTTCTAGCATAGTGCTATTATTACTGTTAACAATATGCTTTTGAAACTACTGATAGTTGTTTTCTGTTATTTTAGTTTATTAGATCAGTATCATAGTCAATAAGTCGTTTTGATATTTTAGGAATAATTTAGTTTGTTATTAAATCTTTCAGTTATGTAATTAGTTTAGGTTTCTTTGACTTATTATAAGTGCATTGTTGCTATTGAATAAAAGTCGAGTTCTTTCTCCATTCATTCTTCTCACATTTATGAGCATTTCTTTTCTTTATTTTATTTTACTTTTTTTATCATACAACCAACAAAATGGTATCAAGAGCTATTTTATTTTATTTTATTTTATTTGACTTATTTTCTCACAAGTTGCTCCTCCTATCTTTGATGGAGAAAATTATGATCTTTAGGCTATCAAAATGGAGACTTACCTAGAGGCTTTAGATCTTTGGAAAGTTGTTGAAGAAGATTACGAAGTTTAGGCTATCAAAAAAGAGACTCACCTAGGGTTTTAGACCTACCATAGACCAAATAAAAAGTCAAAAGGAGAGAAAAACACAAAAGACAAAGACCAAATCATGTCTTTTTACTGGTGTTTCAACAACTATCTTCACTGAAATCATAACTTTAAAAACAGCAAAGGCAATTTGGAATTATCTTAAAAAAGAATGTGCTGGGAATGAAAGAATTTGAGGCGTGCAAGTGTTGAATTTGATGAGAGAATTTAAACTCTAAAGAATGAAATAGTCTAAGACAATCAAAGTATACTCAGACAGAGTGCTTGGTATAGCCAACAAGTTAAGATTACTAGGTACTGATTTTCCTAACTCTAGAATTGTTGAAAAAGTTATTGTAACTGTGCCTGAAAGATTTGAGGCTACAATCACCACTTTAGAGAATATCAAATATTTGTCCAAAATCACATTGGTAAAACTCTTAAATGCCTTACAAGCATAAGACCGAAGGTATGCAATGAGACAAGAAGGTGTTATTAAGGGAGTCTTACATATCACACATCATGAAAGTGCAAGATACAACAAGAAGAAATCTTATCCTCCATGTCATCATTGTAGAAAAAATGGTCATCTTCCTTTCAAATGTTAGAGAATGCCATACGTACAATGCAGTAAATGCAACCAAATGGTACATGAAGAAGTTATATGCAAAAATCAAAACCACACTAAGATGAAGAGACTAAGATTGTTCATTGTGAGGAAGATCATTTATTTGTTGCTACTTGCCTTACTGACTTTAAATCAAATGAAGGTTGGTTAATTGATAGTGGTTGCACTAACCACATGACTAATAACAAAAAACTCTTTAGAGATTTGATGCTGAATAACATTACTAAAGTCAAAATAGGTAATGGTGATTTCATCTCAGCCAAAGGAAAGGGAACAATTGCAATAACAAACTATTCAGGCACGAAGTTAATACATGATGTTCTTTGGGTTCCTAAAATTGACCAAAATTTGTTAAGTGTTGATCAACTGATTGAAGGGGGATTCAAAGTTATTTTTGAAGATAAACATTATTTGATTAAAGATGAAGTTGGTCAAGATATTTTCAAAGTAAAAATGAAATGAAAATTTTTTACTCTGAATCTATCGAAAGAGGAGCAAATAACTTTCTCATGCAAAGAAAATACTACAATATTTTATTCTAACATCTTGAGTGTTGAAAGTAAGTTTTCTAGTTTTATCCATAATGCAAATGAAAGACATCCCTGTTGACGGTATTTGGCAAGTATACCAAGTTTCAATGTAGTATAAAAGATTATCGTATCCACAGGGAGTAGTGATAGACAAATAATTTTAGTTATATCAATTAAAAGTAATAATCCTGAGTATTCATAAATTTACAATTACCATTCATGTGCTTTTGATTAATTGGGTTCATGAAAATTTAGCAAGATAAAAAAATATAAATTTACTATGATGATGAAAAGTAGGGATTGGATTTCATCTATCACTAACTTCGTATTTTAGTCATAATATAATTGCATAATTACTACGGTCTTACGTTGCACTCCCCATTATATTCACTCATTGGATTGATTCCTCTCACCCGAGATTCTAAGATATATTTATTGAATGATAATCCCTTACCTAAACAATAAATAATCCAGTATTACTAACAAGAGTTATATAACATACAACAGATTAAAACCTATTCCTAGAATTCCAACTTATCGCGTGTATTTATCCCAACTGAGTTCTAAGGTAGTTTTTCAACTCACCCCAGATTCTCAAATCATGAATCATTCC